TCATATATATATTTCATATATATTTTTCATATATATTTTTCATATATATTATATATATTTCTGTGTGTATATATATATATATATATATACATATATATATATCACTTCTTCTAATCCATTCATCATTTGATGGAAATTTGGGATCTTTCCATAATGGGCTCCAAATTCTAACCCAGATAAACAACTCCAAATTCAGAGCCCTTAACTATCATTCATTGACCAAATTTGGATTTTAGAAATAAGATCATCATTTATGAATTCGATATAATATTGCTCTTTACATTGTTAATTAATTCTGTAATATAGTTAGAATTTACCAAGACTGCTGGTTCTCCATGATCTGGGGAAATATACAAACCTAAAGTATCTATAGATAAGGGGAAGGAACCTTTTGCCATTCAGCTTCCTTTATTAAGGACTGCCAATTAAATATTAAAAATGCAATTTATCTAATGCATAAGACTTGGGCTCTGCCTGATCTAAAGTTAAGACTGTATTTGGCACTTAACTAGCCGTATGACCTTAGGCCCCTCTAAGTTTCTATGTTCTTATCTAGAAACAGGGTAACATAATCTTTAACTCCTAGAATTCATTGAGAAGGTACATGAAAAGTGATTAGCTAAGTACCTAAAATGTGGTGCTGCTCACTAGAAGGGAACTATGATTTTATTTCCTTAATCTCTTTACTTCTCAAAAAATCCACAAATGCTTTGAAAACTAAATATATATCAAACGAGATGGAACCTCTTCCTGAAAGAAAGTCTTACTATTATGATAGTGCTATTTTTCTCCTTCCCTTTGAGATTGAATAAAATAGAATTTTTAATAGGATAAGGAATTACATATTTAGAAAGACAATATAATTCAATTAAACTTTACAATATCTAATTTTTGAAAGATTAGGAGTATTAAACTTTACATCTGTTCCCACTAAAAAATGACTTTATTGGTTTTAGATAAGCCTAGCTAAGTTGCGTGGAAGCTTTCATATCATATGCAGATAACAAGATCCCTTCAAGCCTTGGCCTTAGCTTTCTCCTGTGTTCTACTTTCTTTGGCTTAAGTAGTGGCCATTCTTACTGTGAGCTGTGGGAAATGCCCATGTAGGGGAAAAGGACAAATATTTCAGAAACAAAAAGGAAGGAGAGTAATGGCTAGAGTCAATCTTTCACATTCAGCATTAGGCAAAATAATAAGTTGCCAGAAGTGTTTTCTTATTTCTATTATGTTTGGGAAAGAAAGTTTCTAGTTATTCTTAATATTTAGAGTGAATTTCTTTCACAATGCAATGTGGTAAAATTTTATTCTCTGACCTTGTTTCATATAAATACTAATAGTTAAATGGGATTTTACTTTAACTCAATCATTTGTTCATTAATTCATTTTCAGTAGTCATTGTTCTAGTTGCTGGTGTTACAACAGTGAAGATTTCATGGAGTGCTCATTTTAGTCAGGGAAGAGATGCAATAGATAAATAACTTAAAGACAAAGTACACCCACTCATGATAAAACTCTTAGCAATCTAGGAATAGAAGGAGCTCCTTTAAGCTAATAAAGAGTGTCTACAAACTAGTCTGTTGAAAGAATTCCCCTTGAAAATAGGGAAAAAAAAAACTACTGAAAGATTTCCCCTAATGTCAGGAATAAGACATGTGTCATCATCACCACTTTTACTTAATGTTGTACTGGAGAGCTAACCTAGTGCAATATAGGTAAGGAAAAAAATTCACAAGGCTCAGAACCATCAACAAAGAAATGCAAAATGAAATAAAAAACAAGACACCACTTGATATTGCATCAAAAAGCCCCACGAAGGAATGAATCTAAAACCAGTAAAAGTTTTATCAAGTGCAATTAAAGATGACCTAAAGGCATTCAAAGATTGGAAGACTCAATATTTAGGATGGCATTTCTACCACAAATTAATAGATTTAATGCAATCTTAATAAAAATGCTACTAATTTCTTTATGGACATTGGTAAGCTTATTCTAAAAAGTTATACGAAAATGCACAGGGCCAAGAATTTCCAAGGCAATCTTGAAGAAGATGAGCAAAACTAGATATTAGTACTAAGTATATTAGTATTAGCATTTATTAGCAGAAATTAGTATTAATTACAAAGGTACAGTAAACAAGATCATGTGACGTACACAAATAGATCCAATGAACAGGAGAGTGTAGAGTCCACATATATGGTTATATATGACAATGATGACACTATGGTGGAGTGGGGAAAGGATGGTCACTTAATACTTGGTGCCAATTAGATATCTTTGTGGAAAAAAGAAGGTATCTTGACCTCTATCTCATACATACAAAAAAATCAACTCCAGATGGATTTCAGATTTGTAAGTTGTAAGAACATAGAAGCATATTTTTATGATTTTATAGTATGCAAAAATATCTTTAAAAAGACACAAAAAATCGACCATACAGAAACAAAAAGATGAACTAGGCTACATTAAGTATTTTTGGTCATCAAAAAACACCATTAGGAATGTGAAAAGAAACCTGAAAAATAGGCGAATGTATATTTGCAACATACGTAACTGACGAAGGGCTCATTAAGAATGTATAAAGAAGAAAAAGAAAAAAATAATACATAAAGAATTTCTACAAATCAACAAGAAAAAGCAAGTAACCTAACAGAAAAAAAATCTCAAATAGTTCACAAAAGAGGATCTCCAAATGGCCAATAAATATATGAAATAAGCTCAATGTTACTGCTCATGAAAGAAATGTACATTAAAACCATAAAATATCTCTACGTGCTCACCAGAAAGGCTAAATTTAAAAAGACGAACAATATCAAATGTTAGTGAGAATGTGGAGTAACAAGAAAACTCCATACACTGTTGGGAATGAAAATCAGTACAACCATTTTGAAAACCTGGCATTTTTCTACTAAAGTTGGCCATAAGTGTGCTATATAACTAGAAATTCTACCCCTAGTTGATAACCAACAGAAAAAAAAATAGTTATGATCTCTGAAGGATAGGTACAAAAGTGTTCTTAACATGATTAGTCAAAAAAAGCCAAAAACTAGAAAAAAAAAAACCCAACATCTACATTGGAAAGGAATGGAATAAGGAAATTTTGATACATTCAAACAATGGAATGCTATAAAGCAATGAAAATGAAAGAATTACAACTATACACAATAATATCTGTAAAAACAGAATGATATTGAACAGGGACACCTGGGTGGCTCAGTCACTTAATAAAACAAGCTGGATACAGAAGAGCTGATACTGTATGATTCCTTTTACACACATCTCAAAGCCATGCAAAATAGTTTATGATATTAGAAGCCAGGATACTGGTTTTCTTTGAGAGAGGCTAGTGACTGTGAGGAAGCACAAGGTAGGTGGTGCGGGGATTCTGGTAGTATTCTCTCTCTTGATTTGCGCTGGTTTCTTAAAATTCATTGAGCACCACATTTACTACTTATTGCACTTTTATATATGTAAGTTATACTTCAGTAGAAAAGGAAGGCCATTATATAATAACATGATGAATAAATGTTCAAACCATAAACATTTTGTAAAGGTTAAAAAATGCTATCTTAAGGGGGCGCCTGGGTGGCTCAGTTGGTTAAGCATCCAACTTTGGCTCAGGTTATAATCTCACAGTTCTTGGGTTTGAGCCCCACGTCGGACTCTGCGCTGGCACCTGAAAGCCTGGAGCCTGCTTCAGATTCTGTCTCCCCCTCTCTCTCTGCCCCTCCCCCACTCACACTCTGTCTCTCTCAAAAATAAATCAATAAACATTAAGAAAATGATATGCTAAATTGAATTGAATAATATGAGGAAAATAGAATAGGACAGAGACATGGAATGTAGGAAGATGTAAGAAAAGGTGTCACAAAATTTATTTATTTATATTTATTTATTTATTATTTTAAATTTATTTAATTAAATTCAAGCTAGTTAAAATACAGTGTAGTATTGATTTCAGGAGTAGAACCCAGAGATTCATCACTAACATAGAACACCCAGTGCTCATCCCAACAAGTGCCCTCCTTAATGCCCATCATCCATTTAGCTCATTCCCTACCCCCCTCCCCTCCAGCATCCCTCAGTGTGTTCCCTGTATTTAAGAATCTGTTATGGTTTGCCTTCCTCTCTGTTTTTATCTTATTTTTAAATACAGTAGTCAGAGAGGCCTTTGAGAGTAATTAACTCCCTTTTTCTTACCTGTATGGTAAAATTTTCCTGAAAATCCAAGGTTGAACGTAAAATTTGTGATTTGTGCACGCAAAAGATTCTGAGTGTCAAGCAGGGCCTGAAATACATAATTAAAAAACAAAAATCGGGTTAGAAAATGTCATTGAGAAGTTTTAAAAGATATCTTCCTTTTGCATTCAAAGGGTAAAACTACTCCTTTATACATGAGAGAATTAAATGATGGAAAGTAGTGTCTTTACCAATTTACAACCAGAGAGATGCTTTCAAGATAACATAAACATATACACATATTTATCCTTCAGCTTGCAATAAATTAGCAAAAAGTGTCAGCTAGAAAAAGGAAGTTACATGAAAAGTTTATTCTGCATGTATTAAAGGAACTGTTATCTAGTACATAAAATATATCTCCTTTCATTTCTCAGGGACATAGATCACCAATTGTCAAAAGAAGGACACTCTTTAAGTGAAACTATGCAAGAACATATGTTGAAAGGAAACATTGTTATTTCTCAGATATGCCTTTGGTCTTCAAAATCCAAGACTTTTCAATCTTTAAGTCTTAGATTCCCACAAAGCAGTGATTGTTCTTCAAAAGAGGATATCATGATAAAGTAAATCTCTAATTCGGCCTTTCATTAAAAAACAAACAAACAAACAAACAAACAGCCCTACTTTTGAAGGTAAAACTTTTTAAAACAGAGTTTTAATTATTACATCTTATAAAGTATTTACCATGCTACGAATTAAAAAAAAAATTAAGGCTATTTATATTGAGAGAGATGGAGACAGTGTGAGCAGGGGAGGAGCAGAGAGAGAGGGAGAGAAGGAAAATCTCAAGCAGGCTCTGAACTGTCAGGACAGAGCCCGATGTGGGACTCAAACTCATGGAATCATGAGATCATGACCTGAACTGAAACCGAGAATTGGATGCTTAACTGACTGAACCACTCAGGCACCCTCATGCTATGAATTTTTAATGGACTTCTTTTCTTTCTGCTCCTTCTTTTCTTCCTCATTATTTAAATTCCTATTCTTATATTTCTTTTCTCCCTGCCACCTTCCCTACACAGACAACTAGGCAGAAAGTAACACTATAGACTAGATTTGTGAAAGATCTTAGTTAATAACTTCTTTTACACACGAGGAAACTGAGGAGAAATGAGTTGCCCATTTTCACAGGTAAAATTAGTGGTAAATTGTAGACTAAGGATATAGATTGCCTGATTCCATATTAGGTACCGCCTTTCCCACTTTCCATAGTTACAACTGGGTCCACAATAAAATCTTCTTATTTTAGCAGCATAGCTGACACCTGGAAGCCTTGCCCCATCATGTTCAAGGTCTCGGTCTTTGTTGGGGAGCTAAATAGATACACCTTTTATTCAGAGATTATCCCTTATCTGTGGACATAAGTGATTCTCCTTATTGTGTAAAAACAGAGGAAGAGGACTTCTGAATCTCTATTTAAATTCGTCTGGCCAATGGTAATTTTCCAAAATTTAGGTATCCAAGTCTTCTTTTTCTATCACTGCTCTGTTTACATGAACAATTTACTTTGACTGAACAACTGAACCATAAAATATGTGGGTCCTGAGGGCACTCAAAGATAGAAGACACGTTTGTTTGTGGATTTCCACACCTAAGTATAGAAACAAAGGGTTAATGATGGCAATGTCATTAGGGACAGGTTAGATTCTGTCATTGCAAGGCCTGGGCATGGGTTGGGCAGGGAAAGGAGAATTTGGCCAGCTCAGCAGTGACAAAGTGAGTAATGGGACACAGAATCTCATTGTGTAAAGGGGTGGGGAGTGGTGCTGCCTGGATGTAGGGTGTGAGACTTTCTCATTCTGTCCTTATGGAAGGAACATAAGGTATAGAATAGGAAGGTATGGGTTTATTTCTTTATTTATTCACTTAATTAAAGTTTATTTATTTATTTTGAGAGAGAGAGGGCACGAACTGTGAGATATGACCTGAGCTGAAACCAAGAGTTGGACGCTTAACTGACTGAGCCACCCAGGTGCCCCGGAAGGTATGGATTTAAATGCCAGCTCAGGGACTTATAGTGAAGTCATGTAAGACTTAGGAGTCAGATTCCCTCAGCTGAAATTCTGGATCTGTCTCTATTCAGTATTGGGCATGCTATTAACATTTTTAGACCTCAGACTCATCACATGTAAAGTATGGATAATAATTACCTCAAAGCACAGTTGTGAGGGTTACATGCTTTTATGCTCTTGACATAGTGACTGGCATATAATAGGTGGTCAACAATGATTAGTTCCTGCTCCTCTCTTATTGCTGCTGCTACTATCAGTACTATTACTAAGATTGTTGTTATTGTTAGTGATGTTAGACAATTTATATTCTCTGAAATTTTCTCTTCATTTGTTAGAGTGGAGATAATTATCTAACTCACAAAGTTGTGATGAGGATTCTAAAAGGGATAATATATGTAGGAGTGCTTGATAAGCTTTTTAAAAAAGTGGCCTAAAGTATTAGGTGTTGATATAGTTATCAGCAATTATATATTTTATGTATATCATTATATATTACTAATAATTATGTCATCTATTTGTCTCATTACTTAAAAGTTGTTTTCCTCATTTCTCATTTTATTTGTCTTCAGTCTCCTCTAGGCTTCCCTCTTCCCTTCTTTTTCATTTCTTCTCCCCATTTGAATATTCTAGCTAGCTCTTCTTATTGTTCCTTCCCGTTATATCTTTTATCCATCTTACTTACTTCATTTTACTCACTTTATTCAATGGTTAAAGTATAGATTTGAAATCCATTTTAAAATAATTTCTTATGTGTTCAATGCTTTAACCTTAAAGTTGGAAGTTTTTTCTTTTTGTCTCTTTGAAAAAGTCCTCAGCTAACCTTGAGCTTTGCTATATGACCCTTGATTGCCTTTTAAAACTAATCTTTACAATACTTGATAAGAAAGCAAACAAACAAACAAACCTAGCTTGTTCTTTGGCCTTTGAAGCTAAATAATGTACCTGTGAACTAACCTCTAAATCAACTAGAATACGTTGATTGAAATTATTGAACTAGCCATGATTATGCAGATTTGAGTTGGCATTTTACACATTTATCTGACATTCTAGAAACAAACACTAAAACACGTAAAAGATATACTGAAACAGACAGTAGATACTACCATTATGCCTATATCTGGGGAAGAGGGAAATTTATTTCTAGAGGATATTTTATATACTTAAGATAAGCCATAATATTTCTTATCTCTTATACTGTTGTTTTTAGAAGCCAGATTTGGAGGGGGGTATATGAAAACAATGTTATATGTTCATCCACTATTCCATCTTTTCAAAATAGGCTTCTGAAGTGCTAGAAGCTAGAACACCCAGCAATGTTCTTAGATTATATTCTTTTCATTGAACTCTTCATTGCTAGAATGATTTTATTCAGCATTAGTCTATTTAAAACTGAGCTAGTCTATTATTACTATGAACAAAGTATTATAAAAATATAAATGATTTTTTGCTTTATTCTCTATGTGCAACATGTCAAAAATGCTGTGATAGTATCTAAAAGTATAATCATGATAAGCCAAATCAGTGTTCTCATATCAAATTCAGAAAACCAAATGCATTTGGGCAGGCAAACCCTCTCATGTGTAGAGTATGTTGGTCACGGAGGAGGTAAAGAATCACAACCACCTGCAGAGGTACCATTCAGTGGTCTCCTCCAATCCAAGAACCCTAGGAACAGATTTCTATTGTCAGAAATAGTCTGATTATTGAAAAATGGTACTTGTATCTTTAACTGTTCCAAAACTTTGTATATAATTAGCAAGGTAATTTACAATTCCAGGCATCAGTAATTACTTTTAAAATAACACCTTACTAACCTTACACCTAAAGGAGCTAGAAAAAGAACAGCAAATAAAGCCTATGCCAGCAGAAGAAGGGAAATAACAAAGATTAGAGCAGAAATTAACGATATATAAACAACAACAACAACAACAAAACCAGTAGAGGGGCGCCTTGGTGGCTCTGTTGGTTAAGCATCTGGCTTTGGCTAAGGTCATGACCTTGCAGTTTGTGAGTTTGAGCCCCACATTGGGCTCTGCGCTGACAAATCTCAGAGCCTGCAGCCTGCTTCAGATTCTGTGTCTCCTTCTCTCTCTCTGTCCCTCCCCTGCTCACACTTTGTCTCTCTCTCTCTCTCAAAAATGAATAATCTTCAAACAAACAAACAAACAAACAAACAGTAGAACAGATCAACAAAACTAAGACCTGGTTCTTGGAAAGATTTAACAAAATTGATAAACCCCTAGCCAGACTTATCAAAAAGGAAAGAGAAAGGACCCAAACAGATAAAATCACAAATGAAAAAGAGATCACAACCAACACCATAGAAATACAAACAATTATAAGACAATACTATGAAATATTATATGCCGACAAAACTGGGAAATCTGGAAGAAATGGACAAATTCCTGGAAACATACACGCTACCAAGACTGAAACAGGAAGAAATAGAACATTTGACAGACCCATTATCAGCAAAGAAATTGACTCAGTAATCAAAAATCTCCCAACAAATCTGTGCCAAAAGGTTTCCCAGGGGAATTCTACCAGAGATTTAAACAAGAGTTAATACCTATTCTCAAACTATTCAAAAAAATAGAAATGGAAGGAAAGCTTCCAAACTCATTCTATAAGGCCAGCATTACCTTGATTCCAAAACCAGACAAAGACCCCTCTAAAAAGGAGAATTATAGGCCAATATCCCTGATGAACCTGGATGCAAAAATTCTCAAAAAGATACTAGCAAATTGAATCCACTAGTACATTAAGAATTATTCACCATGATCAAGTGGGATTTATTCCTGGGCTGCAGGGCTGGCTCAGTATTCACAAATCAATGTGATATACCACATTACTAAAAGAAAGGATAAGAATAATATGATCTTATCAATAGATGAAGAAAAAGCATTTGACAAATTACAGCATCGTTTCTTGATAAAAATCCTCAAGAAAGTAGGGATAGAAAGAATATACCTCAACATCATAAAGGCCATATGTGAAAAACCCACAGATAATATCTTCCTCAATGGGGAAAAATTGA